ATTCTGGTTGTGTTCTTGGATTAAAAAGTTATCATTGGACCTACGTTTTGAGTGCTATTGATGTCTCTGAAGGTAATTGCCTGAAACAGATTCCGGCACTGATCCCCGCAACCAGAGGGTTTCCCCTGATTTTTGCAGAAGTGCTTTTCCAGGCCAAAAACTAGTATTATCACATTATTGATACACATTGAAATTCCACTAAAAGGGATTTAAAAACCCAGAAAGTTAAATAGAGTGTAACAAAACAAAACTTTAAAACATGGTTTTGCCAGTAAGGCTGAAATTTGGCGCCAACTTGGTTTCCGTGTCTTCGTATGTTAAAGAACACTCAGACCAAATCAACAGCTTCTAAAACCAAACATAACAAATTCATATTGAAACACAAATGATAAAAACGTCCCGTTATCGGTTGAACTTGCGTGCTAGTTATCAAAAGTCTTTACGGACTACTGGTTTATTAATATATATCACTGTAGGATCTGGTTAGATTGAGCGATTTTCACCTGAGTGTTGAAAAGTAACTTACGTTGATTGTAGTATACAGATTTGTTGAGATCATTTATACTTATCAATCGAGGGAGAATCGTAAGGTAGACAAACTTATTTTTCCCTTATTTTCTCAAACAGCTAAAGCAATTCGTTTATCACGTCCAACGTTTGAATATTCACCTCTAAATAACCACAACTTTTCTTCCATTTTCCTCTTCATGGCTTGAATCAACCATATCAATGACAATTAATGGTAAAACAAAACCTACGACAAATCTCGTGATAAGCAAAAAAACAAATCTCTTTAAAATAGAGTTAAACGAGGAACGTCGCTTAAAATCAGTACAAACACCATTAAAAGCAAAGTTATTTAATGATCGTGTAATGATCAAAATAGATTATCATAATCGCAGTTATGTTGCAGGCTCGAATAAGCATCATAATAAGCGACAATACTCTGAAGACATTGCACGATTCTCTGGGTTGAACATCAAATCCATTCCACGATTCTACAGCATCCATAACAAGAATTGTCGGTCGACAAGACACTTGCCAAATCGCTAACATTCTGCTTCTTTTAAGAAATGTGTTCTTCGGTTTGTCTTTGAAGTAGGTCTGCAACATTCGTATGTTGAAGAACACTCAAGAACAATCAAGAGCTGCCAAAACCAAATATATCAAATTCATGTTGGATCTGTCCGATAATAAAGCACACAAACACTTGTTTAAAAGAACAATAAACAAAACGCTGTGACGTCACAGTTTTGATACTTATCGCAGCCAGTCTCTATTTTATCCATTTTTTGACAGATAGCACCATCCAACCTATTAAGAATTATTTTCATTTTTTCGGTTCGTGCTTTTTAATTTCTGGAAAACTTAGGGAATTAACCAATCACAATGTAGTAGACGGGAGAAACTGTACTGTCCCGACGTCACGCGTGTTCAGAAGAAAGATTTATTGGATACACATTGAAAATCCTCTATTAAAAATGGATTTAAAAACGCAGAAACTAGAGTAACAAAGCAGTATGTCAGTATGCTTTAAATTTGGCGCCAAAATGAGGCCTTGCTCACCAATAGAGGAGTTCACGCTCTAAGGGGATATCATGGGTAATCAAAGCAAGACTGCAAAGAAACAATGCGGCAAAATGTATGTTTTTCTTCATATTTCCGTTCTGAGTTTCGTTTTCGAGAAGAAACTTTTACTGTAAATAGAGAAACCCCTCTTCTACATTTATTAGCGTTTTTGGGTCGATCGAGCTGTTAAAGCATTAGCCTACTTATCAGAGCAACGGATCGGGGATGTTATTTTTGTGGCTTGAGGGGCTAAGACTTGATCAAATCAGTCGGTTTTAAACTGTAAAAAAATTCCCACGCCCGTAACAATCACTCGATCGGCTCAAAAACGCTGCTAAACCTACAATCATGGACAAAAGCAGTTGAGATACTCGCCGAAAAAGACCTGTTTCGTTGAACTCGGGAGTTTTTTCAATCTCCAATTTTCACATTTCGACCCCTTCTCCCCCTTTCAATGTTGTAACCACGTGACATTGTCCACGGAGAGTAGTTTGGCTATCGACAAAAAAGATGCTGTTTGAAATAACGGAAGGACGCCTATAGAAAGCGTTTGTTTTGCTCGAATGTGTCAACACTTTTGTCCATCATTTTCTGAAATTGCCTTTCAGCGAAAATAAATAGAAATTGCACTATATATGTGTTGAAAATACTGAAATACCATAGAAATTGCAATAGAAACCGTCTAGTTGTAGTTTAGGTCAGGATATGGAGGCTTAAGAGCAGTGCAGAATAGTTTTCCGCAGACTCGTTTGCAGTCTCCGGGCATTAGCGGCCGCTTTAGTGCGCTGCAATATTTAGTGGTCTCGCTAAGCCCAAATTGAGTTCACACACGTTAGAAAACAACAAATCGTGTTTGTAAGATAATACAGCAAAGTAAAGACCCAAATTTACGTCCGTGTAGATTTTGATTCGCGAAATTTGTCTGAGTGATTTTGCTGATAACAAATCCAGTGATTGAACCCAGCAGCAGAAGTCTGGCATGACACAAGCTATCGCTGACAATGCCGGCGACAGTTCTCGGGAACAGTTGCCACCCATAAAAACCAGATTTTCTGCTTCTGTCCTTGATGTTGTTAGCAGAATATATGCCCTGAGGTGGTTTTGCAACGGTTCACAACGGTTCTCAGCGGTAAAATAAAGAATATCTTTTATGGAAATGCCAGCCCGCTATTAGTTCGAGAAGCACTTTCAATACAAAGGTTTTGTTATGTTGAGGTGAGATCTTAAGCGAGAAGATACCTGAGAATTCAAGTAAGGAGAACAACTATTTCATCTGTTTTACCTGAAGCTACATTTTTCTGGAATAGAAGAAATCAGAAACCACACAGGACCCAGTATGACTACTCAGTCAAAATGACGGTGGCAATATCATTACTTATTATATGGCTAGCTCCATGAGCGGGCAAGATAAATGAAATCCTGCGCTGTGATTGGCTACCTGAGTGGGCAAGATGGGGCTATCTGGCCCGCTCGGGTCTACCCGCCGCGTCCCGCAAGAAAACTTTCCCTGACAGCCATATAATAAATCCTTTATTGACCAAGCTTGTTCGGTCAAGGTGGCTGGATATTGGCCTCGTTCTTTTTTTGCGAGTTTATGGACCTCGACTCCATGTCGGTCCATAAACATGCAAAAAGAACCTGACCAATATCGCGCCATCTTGACCTCACACTTGGTCAATAACCCATACTTCCTGGTTGAAATTAATCGATACTGAAAAAATGTTTATAAACAGCCATAAAGTTTGCATTTCACATCCTAAGTTGTGGTTGTTTTGTTTCTTGATTCTTTTATAGCGTTTAAATTACATTTAAAACAGTTAAAAATATAATTAGGAAAACTACAGAAGACCCAGGAGGATTACAAATTAAAATTGGCAAACTAATGCGAGAAATTAAAGGACCCCAACAAAATTTAACAAAATTGCAGACAATTTAATGAAAATCATAGCCAATTTTCCGAAATTTTGAGTTTATCCAATGCATCTAGAGTTTATCGGTATAAAACTACATATTTTTTTGAAAGGGTTAAAATCTGAAAGTTCTAATAAAGTGGTGGAAATAGTAATACGAGGAAAAACTGTAAATTTCGCTGCAACGAACCAAAAAATCCACTTAGAAAATTCAGAAATGTTGAACTTCTTACAAATCTTACAAACAAACAAGGTTGTCCTCAGTATCACTAGACACAAAACTTAACACACAACGTTACGCACCGTTACTTAGAATATTGAATGAAGTCGTCTAAATAGGTAAATTATAAGTTTCAAAATACAAAATTATGAACCATCATTTAAACTAAGATATAAATACCACTGAATCTTCGCTAACGGACATTTTCCTTAGGCGAACCACTCTCGAATCATGGTACCAGCTAGATACACTACTTTTTTAACTTCCCTTGCCGGTTGAGTAAGCTCCCATAAGAGGGAAGAAGAGCAATGCCAATACGACTTCACCCAGTTATCAAGATCTATCTTTGTTAATTCGAGATTTTCAAGCGTAAGTGTTGACTACACAAGGCGACTTGGATCGGTCTATTGGTGAATAATCCGAATTCATCTTGCTTCGACTACATATCTATTCACCATGTTAACAACTAGTTTTACTTTGCTATTTGTTGTGGGAATTGCGAGTTTTCTGTGACTGGAGTTAAATTTCACTCGACTCAAAGCGACGTTTAAAATAAGCTTCAGATGTTTATAAAATTCATTTAAAAACATTTATAACCAGAAAGAAAACAATATAGAAGTATTCAAAATATACATATACGAGGCTAACCTGTATAATTAAATCAAAACTCTAAGGGCCTTCCTACTTGCTACTCGTGATACACATTAATGCACCAGACAGTCTAACTTAATAGTAATGGCTTGATTAATGTGACACTGAGCATTGCCACCGGGGGTTCACCCTCTATGATCCAATAATTGAAAATACCTAGCTTAAATATAACAAAATGTTGTTTATTTAGCTCTTATTAACCGAGGTCTGGAGGTCTGTATGGGAGAATCTTGACCGAGGTCTTGAGTACAGACCGAACGCAGCGAGGTCTGTACACACGACCGAGGTCAAGATTCTCCCATACAGACCGACTTAGCTCGGTTAAATAAGATGTTTATTATATGGCAAAGAAGAAAACTGTAATTCGTTTGATGTAACTGGTTTGCTGACATTTTGCTTGCGAACGGCGATGAGCTTAACTTAAACCTGCTGAAATTTGCTCGTCCTCTTTACTTTTTTTTTTGTCATTAGGCTTTTTGGCACTTCCATAAATGATTGAGAAGAAAATAAAAGAAAATGGTGAACATTTTTGTATTTTAGTTTGCTACTTTTTCAACGGAAAATGAAACCGGTTTAGATGCCGGTCTAGATGGGAAAATCTAGACCGCGGTCAATATCGATTTCAGCCAATCAAATTCGTGAATTCGGTAGTTTCCAGTCCTTGTGAGACACAGCCATATAATAAAAAACGATATTAAAATCATATTGAAATAGAATAAAACGCATACAACTACAAAAAAGGCTAAAACTGAAGTCTGAATAAAATTGCTCAATGCCGTATTTCTAGCAGTCTTTGACGTGAGAAAATCCTAATTGTTTTTTGTCTCAACGAAAAGTTCTGATTTTCAATGAAATTTCCCTTAATCTCTGAGTAAATTCCTCTGTAGCACTGTCCATTGACAACATTTCTTGACCTGGCTGACAACTTATTTTTTGTCAAAAGAACTGTATTGGCCATAATAAGTTATAGTTGTTAATAACGAGGTTGCTGTGGGGCAAGTTTCCAATGTTTATGCTAATTAGAATAATCCGTTTTGCATCAAAAAAGAGAAACGCAGAGACAAGTGGCCTATCTGTCATTGTGAAATTTATGTCACCGTGACAAGACAGATAGGGCACTGGTCTTTTCATTTCTCTTATGTAATGCCCAGAAAAAAAGCACTGCAAAATCTACAGGTAGTCCAAAAGTTATGGAAGTTCTTAAATCACTAAAAGCATTGTTCAACGATTGTCTAATGCTTTTGGTCACGTGGAAATAATGCAACAGACAGGGCGGACGATGTCGGCATCCCTTTTGTTGACGGATCAAAAGTTTTGACATGGAAAAACCAGTTGTATCAGCCATCGACGAGCAAAATGGGTTGAAGAGGGAGAGACTACGCGGTCATGGGAACGGACTTAACAGAACCCAGTGCAAACTATAAATACTTTTCAAAAAGTTATCAAAGGGCACATTGTTCTGCTCTCTTCCTCAATTTCTCTTGCTTTGGTACATTTGTTTAAGTTCTTCCATTCCTGCCCAATAATTCAGTTCAAGATCTTTGGCCATTTGAAGAACTTCTTCTGCAATTGTGTTAGCTGTATTAACTTCTTCTTGGTAATTTGAATAAAGTAGCAATGCTAAGTTAGTTTTAATCATAACCTTCCATTTGTGGTTGCCCTCAATAGTCTTATCAGCAATGTCACTCCCCGTTTGGTATTTTTGTCGGGATTTTTCAAATTTTCCACTCTTTTGCAAGCAGATTCCCAAATTACTGAAGATCCGAACAGACTTGTGTTCCGCTATTTTCATATCTTCCAAAATGTGAATTGCTTTGTTGTAGTTTTCTTCTGCTTCTTTTAATTCGTTCACACTCAAGTAATGATCCGCCAGATCTTTGTGTGCAAATGCAGTTAAGACGTGATCTCCATAATGATCCTGGCGAAATTTCAATGCTTCCAAATGATTTTTAAGAGCTTCCTGGGGTCTTCCCAGTTCTTTTGCATTGTGCCCCATTTGCCCGAGAATTCTGGCCTTATCGAATGTTGACGCTAGTTTTTCTTTTTCATAAACGGATAGCGCCTTTTTCAAAAACGGCTGTGCGTCTTCCCTTCGATCACAATCCTGTGAGAGATATCTGCCATAGTGACTCAAATAAAATACCTCAGACAGGCCGTTCTGTTCAAAGAGATGTTCATTCTCATCATGCAATTTAATAGCTCTGCCATGTACTGACTGCTGCTTGGCACCAGCACGTTTTCTTCCTTCGTCATAAAGGAGACATAAAATCTCTACTTCATGGATTACTTTTCCTTGGCTTTGGGCAAGTTTTAGAAGACCATTCAGAAAGTCATCATGAAGCTCAAAGGGAACACAATCTCCTATGTAAGGTGCCACTAGCCAACAGTCGTTTAAGACACTTTCTAGTTCTCTGGAGCCCTCAAATTTCTCCGCCGAAGACGCAATTTTCAAAGCATGCTCAAAGTTAAGTCTTTCGACATCGAACAGATCTAAAGATCTTCTGCAACCATCTTTTTGCCAATACGTTCTCGTATTGTTCAAAATCAGAGCCAAGAAATGTTTAAGGAAAGACTCTCGACCTTGAGCCAGGATTTGACGGAAGTGGTCTCTTCCTTTCTGTCCGGCATAATCTCTAATCAACAGGTGAAGGTGGTATCGGTTGTGCTGCTTTTCAATCAAGCTCCTTCTTCTCAAATTTCTCAGCATCACAGGGCACTTATCACCTAATAATGCCTTGGCTGCTGCTTTATCAAAAGATCTTACAAAGACCGAAAGGCGCACTAGTGCATGCTGCAAAGTTTCGTCTAACTGTTCAAATGCTATCCCCATCATTCCGTCCAGTTCAAGAGTTTTTGTAGTGTTTTCATTTAACCCTTGAATAAGTTCCTGAAAACTGTACTCAGAATCAGAAGAAAGTAGAGGACCAGCTAGACGAAGTGCAAGTGGAATGTGCTCACAGAGTACAGCTACTTTCTTGAATTTCCTCTTTGTTTCCGCGTCAGACACAGAGTACAATCCAGCGCCATCCTTCAGTATTTGAAGGCTTTCCTCTTCATTCAAAGGGCCTACCTGGATAGGCGTTACATTCAAAATCGTTGTTGGACTGTTAATGTCTGAATGCCTTGACGTGATCAAGAATTTAATTAAATTCTTCTGTGGAGTGTACTTTCTCATTTCTCCTAATAATTTAGTGAACGCTTCCTTTAGACTGTCTTCTGCAAGTACATCTTCTGCATTATCGAGAACAAGTATTGTCTCGGATTGAAGCCGCCTGCACCACTGAAGAAGAACATGCTTGGGTTTTGTGTTCGTCTGTTGGTGACCCGAATCACAGTCGTATAAAATTGCTCTGACCATTTCATCTTCGTTTGCACAAGCTCCACGCAAGTCGCAAAACCTGACGTCTTTGCCTGCATGTTTTAATCGATAACTTGCTTGAATAGCAATGGTGGTTTTTCCTATTCCTGCTGTTCCACTGACAAGAATTACCGCCACCTCACGGTCAGTAATGAGGGTGTCAACAATCTCAGCAAGTTCTTTTTCATGGCCATGGACGTTTGGCGGTTGGTCTGGTAGCTCCATCGCTTATTTAATGAAAGAAACAAAAGATGTTAGTTCTGTGTCATGCAAACTTTTAACAGAATTATGATGGACTTCAATATACGTGAGAATAAAAGCAAGGAAAAGTGCATTGACTTCTCAGTTGCCACAGACAAACATGGTATGAGAGTTATTAAACATGTCTCGCTGTTAACATTCTGATATTAAATGGTGAGTTTGTTCGTTACGCTAGTTATTAATTCGAGTTCAGATTTATTAACACCGATATTGACATCTCATTGTAAGAACATTACCAGGGTACTACTGCAGTGTATGTCAAGCTCTAAGAGCTAGAATACTCTTTTGGCTTTATTTTAGTTTTCTTCTTTAAGTATAGNTAGGGGTGAAATACAATAAAATTAGCTAATTGGGAATTCTGAATGGTGACCGCATCCAATTAATAGAGGTGACCGCTTAATAGAGGTCAAATTTACAGTAAATAAGGGGACTACTTTTTGGGAATTTGATAAGTGTCCGTTTAATAGAGGGTGACCGCTTAGTAGAGGGCCGCTTAATAGAGGTTTGACAGTATCATTGTAAAGCTAATAAACTGCAGATTCCGAACATAACAATACATTTTGCTATTTTTGTTTTGACAGGCATGCGCAAGCCTTTAAACGCAAAAATGACTGTACTTGCCAAACTGAATTACCAGCCTTTGTGTTACTGCGGACATCCAAACTGACTGGACACTATCAATCAGGAGTTGATGGGCTAACAAAGGGTGTGAGGCTTTTTCGATGTTTCTATTGGTTGCTTGGGAAATGCCTTTTAAATTTGGACAATAGAAAAGTTTCTGACTGCTGATACTCAATGGGATGTCACAGGATCAATATTTCGATTTTCACAAAAGCCTCACATATTTTGGTGCGCAAATATCTGACAAAGATTTTGGCCAAGTTTCGTTAAAATCTGATAAATCTACATACCCTATTAATTCATTTGAATAGAGGTAATTCATGCAAAAATAAACCTTGAGTTTTCGGCCTCGAAAAAAAATTCACAGTTTTCGCAGCTCACTGAAGCAGTTGTCAACGTGGCCTTGCCGCCAACCAAAGAAATACAGCTTTGAACTCCCCGGCAGGTTACAGTAATGCTTCGTAGGAACTAATGTGCAATGTTTACATTTACAGTAAATCTTTATATCTTACATCGGGAGTAGCGAGGTCTGCCATGAAACATTCAGCAGCTTATTAACCGAATCAGCAGATAAATGGTAAAGAAGGAAAAGAGGAATGATAGCAGAATAGCCATGAACAGGCCTACCGAGTCGAATGAGGATATTTACACATTTTTAACAAATTCTAAATGCGCATTTCATCGGCCTATTTGTTTTACTAGAATATCGAAAAACACTCTTCAAAGCAGAGAAAAGGAGCGTTTGGAGAAGCTGCCTTGTCAGATATCAGCGATTAAATTCATCGGTAATTCTGCAGCAATCAACTTCTGTGCCAGAAGAAGCTAGAGCAGGGCATCGATGAAACATTCGCTTGCCCATCCTTGCGATTTGCGCTTCCATTCAAATGTGGGGACGCAAAGACCATGTAAAATCGCCTGGTCTATCACTTAAGAGACAAAAACAATCAACAAAAGCGAAGATTTCAGTGCAAGAAATTACAAGATGTAAGGGATAAACAAAAGAAGCGAAATTAGACTCTGCGGATGAGATCAGTTGCTGCGAAAATTGTTGCTGCTAAACTCAAGGGTCGACACATTTTAATTGGCTTATCACAGTTTGCAGTTCATTGACTCATTTAAAAAATTTAGGTTATTGTGGAGAACTCGTTCACGTTTTAAGTTTTTAAAATAATTTTTTTTGCAAAGTTCAAATAAAGTAGAAGTCTTGAATTTGGTGTAAAAAAAAATTTTGGACAAAATAGGCCCTTGAAGGTCTACAGTAACCTTAAATCAACACTGTGTTTATTTATAAACAGTCATTTAGAAAAATGAAAAGTTCATTAATTATTGACATCACTATATTTTGTCTCCACCCTGCACTGACTCGCTGAAGCTTGACATCTCAGACAACTGGAAGTGGAAGGAGGTTTAAAGGGATGGCATTCAAGATTTTCAAAAATCATGGCAAGCTCTCCTTCCCTCCACCCTCATGCAATCCTTCTAATTACATCATACTACAGTAAATAAGTCATCTGGCTCTGCTGTTAAGGTCAAAGAGCAAATATTCTATTGGCTATTCAATCATTGCAGAAAACCAAATGGCAGGGAATGACCAGTAAAAAGAATCACATCAAAAGATTACTCTTACCAATGTGCTGACTGTTGATGGCAGCTTGTAATGCTTCCTTTATGCCTTTTATATCAGTCCCAATTTCATGCAGCTGGTCCTTTTTCCATTGTTCTAAACGTTCTTTATATTGATTCTCAATGTCAGGGTCCATACACTCAGTCTTCAATTTGTCAATTGCGTTTTCATACTTGGCTCCCCCTAATCTCACCAGTACTGCTCGGATGTTCTCCCAGTGGGTGAAGAATGTTGCATCATTAACAGAGGCCTGCTCTGCATGGGCATACACAGTATTTCTGAAATACTTTATGCGGACAATGTCAGCCTCAAGACTCTCATCTGCTTCAGGGGGTTCTTCATCCCAGCCAGTTATTGGAGGTTTTAAATGGCATATGTTTCTCAGAAGGACCATCAAAAGAGTGACATCAAAATTTGCTGAAGACACAGGAGATGCTATGGCAGGATACAATTTGTCCCACTGAGTTGCATTTAAGATCTTTTTCTTCCCTTTGAAAAGCTCTTGAAGAGTTCTCTTGACATCGGGACTGGCCAAAACAGTGTGAAGATTTGCTGGCTTATGGATGCCATCAAATGCGTCCCTTAGGGCTTGTGAACCAATATCTACCAGAAGACGACAAAGACGAGCATAATTGGTTGTCTCCTTTGAAGATGCTACTGGTAACCCACAATCAGCCATGAAGAGACTCGCTTCAAAAAGTTAACCTGTAGTCAAAACAATGTAATAGTTAACAGAAGTATAACTTACTTTGTCACCTATTGTTATTGCTGAGGAGCATTTAATCACAGGTGTAATACCTCTCCCAAAACTCTGAGCCCATGAGTTCCTACCTTGTACCTAGTAAAAAATTCAGCATAATGTCTAACAATGAGGATTTTTCAGCACCAAGTATGATAAAAAATGGTCGCATGACCTGTGCCAGTTTTATTATTGTTTTATTATGACCAAGAGTCAGACTCATATGACAGCAACTTAAGATCTGCTTGGCATCTCTGACAATGACATCACGATAAGACAGATTTTTTGATTTGTGCAGAACCCTGTAAAATGAGCCGTCATTGGCTAGACTGCACCAAATGAATTCAGTTCAGGTTTTAGTAGCCATTAGTAGGGTGAAGACTATAGCATATATGATTCATAATTTCACAACCAAACAACTTTGGATGCAACATTGCCAATCTTTATTTTCTGGGCTTTGACATCCCTTCTAAAAAAATACCGCAAAGCAATTCAAAGTAATAGGTTTAAAAAACAACAAGGTAAAGTCTGCATATGAGCCAAGTGGCCCACTAGGCCGGAGCTTAATCCAGTTTCTGTAGCAGGAAGCAACTAGGAGTGTTTCTACTCCATTGCAGGGTTATTATTCCAGCAGTTGGGAATCTTACATAGCCAACCTGTTTCCTTCCTAGGAGGCAGGAAAGGGGTTGGGGACATGCTCATAGGTGTACAGACACCATCAGACTTAGGGGGGGGGGGGGAACCTTCATGCCTGAAAAATTACACAATGCCCGAATGTGTGAGTGTTAAAATTGCGATACAAACACACTCAACTAATTGCAGAGAAAATAAAACTGTTGACAATTCTCACATGTCATGAAACTGTTATTTAAGCAATAGACCACTCTTTCTATGGGTTTACTGGCGCAATAAACCATGCAGGATGTTAGGAGAACATGAGAAAAGCTTGTAAGTCACGAGCCATTAGGCAACTGATTTACAAGCTTTCCAAGTGTTCTCCCAACATCCCAAGTGGTTTATTGTACCAGTAAACCCATAGAAAGAGTGGTCTATCGCTTCTATGAAATAACTATAGAAAACATCTGTCAATGAGAGGAAAATTTATTGTACTTTCCTGATCAAGTAGCTTATTCTCATCAAATTCATGAGATGATGTGACAAACTAATCACAGCGACTGAAAGAATGAAAGCACAGACTCCACGCTGGACACAAAATCCGCAGAGCAAAGCGACGAAAACATTTCATGCCAAGAAGGTTTTAAGAAAGAAAAGGAAATGGTTATCAGTGAAAGGCAAAAAGTGTATTAATTAACTCAAGAGTATTCTAATGGAGAAATGCAGGGATTCGTAGGTGGAATCGGTCATCACAAAAGTAAAAGGCTGTGCGAAAAGTATGCAAGTAGTCCAAACTTCATGTACTTGATGAAGTGATTCAGCACAGTGTTAAATGATAACTTTCCAAATTTTTGCAAATGAAATAAAGGTTAGTTGCAGAAACACTGCTTCCGAAATTTATTCAGAATTTTTTTATTTATGCTGAAGGTTATGAAGTCCGTGTTTCTCTGTATTTTGCTAAATGAAAACTATTGCTTGAAAGCTAAGCTTATGGAAACCAAATTCATTTATCGTGTTATGYATGCATGCATTGAGTTTAAAYTCAAAATGTCTGATAGAAAGAAATCTTTTCCTGCYATTTTGACTMCCCAAATTGATCGCTCAAGCCCAGCTGACTTCGTCCTCCACAGACTGTGGAAAGCACCGACAAAAGGGTTTAAAACGTCCTTGATTTTAATCTCAAACATAACTGGAGTCAGCGTAACATTTTTGCCGTGGAAAAAAAAGATAAAGCTTTATATGACGACCAACTTCTGGTCCTTTTTTTCCTTGCAAATTTCCATGTATATACTGAATGAAAAGATATTTGTGTTATTGATATCACAGCAAGTGAAAGGCAAAACTGTTTATTACATTTGTTATCACTAGAGTTCCGAGTTCTCTAGTTCCCGGGTAGAGCTGCCATAGATCCGGAACTCTGGTTTATCGGTACAGTAGAACATAGGTTTGGTAACTCAGTACTCTATTGACCAATCAGAGCGTACGTAGTATCTCAGTTGTTTTATAGAATTACATAAATTATAGCTATTTTGAAATCTTGCATACCCTATAACCTTGGTTGACAGCAAATCAGAAACTTTAAAAGAAAAAGTTTTTTTCAGCTAGATTGTAGAATACCAAGCCACCCATTTGTATCTCATTGAATTTGAATGGTTTCTTTTGTTTCTGTATATGCTTTGCTCTTAGAAGTATTGAAACATATGTTATAAAAATAAGTTCCTAGTATAGTAAAATCACTCTGTTTTATTTCCTTGTTCCCACAAAAGGTTCAAGAAAAACTTTCAAATGGTTCTTTGTGGAGCCATTCAAAATGGCTCTTTGCAGAGCCACCAAAAAAACAAAAGTCTTAACCTTTTGTTGTCATTGTTTTGCTAATGGAATGAATATCCATATCGTGGATTTCTGTGCTTGTCCAAAACAGAATACCTGGATCCTTTATATCATTTGACTTAAAGTCCTTTTGGCAAGGCAAATGTCACAGAAAATAGCCTACCAGCCTCAAAATCGTTTGGAATGTTTTCTACTAAGCACTGTTGATGAGCGTTTTGCCCAAAAGATTTCAGAATTTCAGAAATGAGGGGGGGCTGCAGCCAACCACCTCCCTTCCAGCCCGTACAACTATGGTCACTTATGGACATGCTCCTGCACAAAAATTCAAGAAAGAATGAAGCATGTTAAACATGTCTTCCTCAACTCTGGGGGGGGAAGGTTAAAAAGGCCCTCTGAAAAAAAGTGACAAAGACTGTTTGAAGCAGATATAACAGAAAAAACTGCTGAGTTTACACACGTTCAGAACCGTAAAGATTTTGCGAAGAGAAAAAGGCTGACAACCACACAGTTTGGCAGCCTTCTGTAATGGTCTTCAGACTGGAAGGTAAAAGTTGCCAGCCAAAGCTCAACAAAAGGCATTTGAAAGCACAAGACACCTTAATAACTCTGGGAATGACTTTCTGTTGTCAGTTACAGTGGAAAGGCTGAGCATTTCTAGATTTTTCATTTTACAGTTTTGATACTAATGGAAGGATAACAAGAGTGTGGTAAATACAGAGTCTATTTAACAATTAGACCTGTAGCCCGCAAGGGCTACTGACCCGTGGCCCTTGAGGGCGAAGGGTCTAATTGTTTTAGTATCACCCAACTAGTCGGACAGAAAAGGTAATAATAAAGTTAGCAAATGCAAGTTGANTTTTCCCCGTTGTTTTGACTTTCCATCGTCGGGGTCCCTCGTCCCCACTGACTGTCCTTGGATCTCCGAGGATGACAACATGGACCAGAGACCGAAATTATGATTATCACCAAATTGAAATAATAATTTTGTGGCATGCGTTTGCTCGCGGTTAGTTCCACTCGGGTTTGCCTGCGGTTAGCGTCCATTCTGTTTTCTTGGTGACCCTGTATTATTTATACCTTTTGCTTTCAGTGTGTATAGTTAAAAACTTCGGGTTCTTGGCAGCCAGCGCTCGGATGATGTGGTGGTAAGTGGATGTATCCTGAGTCGAATTTCTCGGGTTTGACTCCCACTGTGTTCAAAACGTTTTTCTTTCTTTCTCTTTATTTGAAACGTATGAAGACTAAGTGAGGAATGACCTTCATGTAAATATAAGTAAGTATAACCAACTCCAAGTAGCTGAGGCAGCCAAAGGAATACGCAATTTGCATGATAGAGTCATTTGACTATAACTTCCAGAATCCTTCACTTTGTCTGTTTCTTCTGCTACGAAGGGTAACTGTCATACCACTAGGAATTCAAAATTTAAATAATAAGGAAGAAACGAAAGGGATTCTAGTCGACGCAGACAAATAACGACAACGGGCAAATCAGCTATTGTTGCAGTTCGAAGTAAACAGGTGTTTTGCAGAGGCTCTGTGCTTGCTGTGAGATAAATATCGTTCGGCTGGCTAGGAAGTATATTTGTCTTGCTGACTGAAGCATTGTTGGGAATGTTTACAGATCGCTCAAGCTGAGAATGACACCGTTCGTTCGTCTGGAATTTTGGATTACCACCCCCACTGAGGAGCTAAACTTGACCCTGAAGCCACACCCTCTCGAGGTATACGAAAGTAAGTGGATGACTTTGTTGTTGCTGACTGGGACGTTTTGAAAGACCCTGCCGAGGAATCGAACTTCAAGCGTTTCTTCTGCGAACTTCAATCGGCAGATTTTACCTTTCGCTCGCTTGTTGATTACCTCCTAGTGCGCATGCCCGGGCGCAACATTGTCGCACGAACCTGGCCAAACGACTACAACATCATACAACAACCACATATGTTGCATGACAAATTTGACCATTTTCAAATCTGAGCCAACAACACCCAACATGTCGCAGCACGTCGCAACAGGGTGGCCAAACGCGCACAACTTGCTGCACCCAACAATGTTGCGATATGTTGCGTTGAAGTGTTGTGATCGTTTGGCCGGGCTTAAGTAGGTAACTTTATTGGAGGCAGCGTGGCTGAGTGGTTAGAGCGCCGGATTTGTAATCCGTAGGTCCGGGGTTCAAATCTCGTTCAGACCGCTAGCTGATCTTGTTCTCGGTAGCCCCGAGTTCAACCTCTCGGCTGCGCTTGTAAATAACCAACTAGTCTGCCTCCCGCCAGTTGGGATTCTTAACTTAGTTATGTTTATCTGAATATTTATTCATCCTTGTTTGTTTACATTTGTCCTGAAAAGCCCCAATGGGGAGTGGCCAATTAAGTATATTTATTTTACCACGGCAGCTCATTCAGCAACGAGACTGGTATCAGTAGGGGCCCTAGGTGACAAAGATATATACAATTTGTAAAATCTTAAAACTAAGTAAAATAAGAGAAAAAGATGCTAAAATATATGAGTATGATAACAAATTTATAAATTTCCGAAGAATAAAGAATTGAAACTAAAGATGCTCAATTATCAAGCTTTTAAAATTACTCAAGGACGGGGCACTTTTAGTACATAGAGGATATTACATGGCCGCATGGAGATACGAAATTTCTCTTCGAGT